ACAGGGTCGTCAGCTTTTGAGAACAAAATAATATGACATTGTATTTATCATCGGTATCTAACAAAATAATATGAAATTGTTTTTAGAATCTTATAGGTAATGGTGTTTTTCATAGAGCGCTACAATAGTATAATCCCTGCATAATGCTAATGCTCCTGGCTGCCACTTTTGATGATGTAACTGCGTTCAAAAATCAGTACCGTTAACAAATAAAAACTGGTTGACGAGTACACTTATTGAGTCGGGTTAAATTGAATCACACATCATTTTTGTTGAGTTTTCTTGTGTCTTTTTATGTATGACTTAAATAGCAATGACAATTATGATTATCACAATAAGTAAATATCGTTTCAAAAAAAATACAAATATCTAATAGCTCTCATTTTAATATTCATTTTGGTTATTGAAAAAAATAGTATTATTACAAAGAATTATTTTGTTTTTTCGTTTCCGTATAACTCAATGTTTAAATTGATTGTTTTCCAAAACTTTACACAATAAATTAACAAACGAAAGTTGTTAAATCATTGTAGTATTACTTTGGATATTATTCATAAATAATCTATACATAAATAATAAATAATTTCTCTTGCCTTTTTTGTTATCTATACTTTTTATTTTCATATGGCGTTTGACGTCACGCGGTTGTTACGTAAACGAGGTTCCAGCACAGATTCCAGCTAATTAGCAATTTACGGGACGTATACTAGAAGCAATGATACTAATATGTTATATAGTTAAATACACAATGAGGAAGTATTTTAAGAAAAAAAAAGCTCCTCACTAGATGGCGACTCTAGCAAAAGTTGATTTTTGCAGGAAACAATGGACCAAAGATCGTAATTCCCGTTCCTTTTAACTAACATATTAAAAACTGAAATTCGCAAAGTTCGTAACTTAGATATCAACAAATACGAAAAAGTACAAATAGAATATGAGTTGTTTATTGAGTTTTGAAAATTAATTTACTTTTACATACATGAAAGAAAACCGGTAAGGTTGTATGGAAGAATCAAGAAAATAGCATAGCGACATCTTAATTGATTTCAGAAACTAAGTTTTTTTTAATACTAACTCATTCATACCTGAAAAATTTCGATCACCAATACTACCCGAAAAGTGAAGCTACTATAACTAAGACCAAAGATTACAAATGAGGCTCAGCCTATAGTGGATTTTACAAAGTATCCAAATAGAATAGTCATTTAATATCCAAAAACTCATGACGCTCTGTACTAAAACGAGAATGTGATGGTGTTCTTTTTCTCGCCCGAGACATAAGTGCTTTTTTAGTACTTTCTTTTTTTTAAATACTTCCTCATTTTAAATATCGGAATATGTGTTCTATGGCTGATGGTTTCTTGTTTTTCTTACAACTCAGAGATAAATCAAACTAGTTGGCTCAAAAGAATAGTATCCAAAGACGTTATATCACCATTAAAAAAATTATCATAGTAACGAGCATTTAGTATAAAAGTCAATTCTTTTTTATAATCGGTTTATTATTTATGTCACGTCCGCACCCTTGCCAATAAGGATATTATACAGATAGCCTACATCCGTTAAGCCTTTTCTTACTTTATGTGATGAAGACTCAGAAGTTTCGTGATCACAATGGGGAAATGTCTCATCTCCGCTTTACATATATTGGAATTGGATTAGGAATAACTCATTTTTATAAAATAAAGCACTAAAAATGATAATATAAAACTACTGAATACCATGGGGAATACTGTTTAGCCTTTCACATATGCCTTCGATTTAGACGTCCCCCTAATACTGCAAAATCCCTCCCACTTGATCCGGACCTGGCAATACACGTCGCAAGTATTGCTACTATCGCAAATCAACATGCTTTATCATAGTAATAGGTATATTATCATTAATAGGAATAAAAAAGTTAAATGTAGGGGCCATACATAGACGGACAAACCGGTATTTTCAGTAACCAAGATATTGTAAGAAGATGCTTATACGATGGTTAATAGAAAAGCAATTATTTTATTAACAGACTTAGTTTACTATTTTTTAATAATATTGAAATTTGAATCTCAGAGTACCCGATGTTAGTTGATTCTTAAAGCGTTTCTAATTAAGAAAACTCGTTTACATTAAATTCCATAACTTATTACGAGAGAAGAACTGCGTTTTGAGACTTATATTTGCAGATGTTATATTTTCGATGAGATCAATAATTTTCATATATAATTTAAACAGGTACCTACGCGCGCACATGATAAGTCACACTAAAATAAAGAAACACCCGTGTAAATACTGCGGTGTGAAGTTCGGACGTTCCGATCATCGCAAACGGCACGAGTACACAGCGCACGAGAAGCATCTAATCAGCTCCCCATCAAAAACAAACCTTGTTCTTCAGAAAACAGATGTTAGTATCTAAATTAGTAATAATGTCCGGTTTCACCGACGTCCTTTAAACAGTTACTTAACTGTGTCCCTTAAAAGGACCCTTAACTTTAGAATACTTTTCACCCACCGAACAGTCCCCTTAGTATGGGACCCATATGTATGTGACACACTTTTTTCGCTTATGGATTTTGACCTCTACCCTCCACATATTAAGGTTTAAAATCGAGTTGGGAAATTTGCCAGTTTTGTATATTCTAACGTGCAACGTAAGCCATTAGTTCAGCTTAATTGCATTAATGGTTTTATGGTGTTTGTTAAGTCATTGGTTGTAGTATGATACAAAAAAAAATAAGCATAATTTAGATCTCATTGAATAATTTATAATAAATCGAACATTTCTTAACTTTCAACAAAATCAAATAATTCTGTATCCAATTTAATACATTATAACAAACATTTTAACTCTACGTGACCACTTTATCTTATTGTAATACACTTTCATAGTGTCACATACATAACTTTATGTACCGAATATTTAGCCTTCTTAACTAAACCTTTTTTTTTACTTTTTTTATATCAATTTTATTCAATTTTAGTGTCGTCCTAACGACAAAATATGCTGGGTATTTAAAAATTGATAACAACTTATAAAAACCATATTTTTGCAAATAAAGATTTTATTATTATTATTAAATGGTCCTTTTAGAACCGCACTGGGCCCCTAAGCTTTGGTGAAACGCAGTGACGTAGTTAGGGAGTCACCTACGCAGGTTTAGGGATTCCCTTAAATTTAGAGGACGTTGGTGAAATCGTGCATAAGTATCATGGGAGATTCTTTTACCTAAACGGTAGGTGATAATAAGTAATTGATATCTATCAACTTAGCGTGGTATTATTATACCAAGCTACTCCGTGCTTCGGATTGCACTTTAAGCCGTTGGTCGCTTTGCAGTTGGCTGAATTTGCAGTTGTTAATACCCTCACAATCCGCATTACGCTAGTCTAGAGATGGGTGGTGGGAAAATACCCGGACTTTTTCCCATTTAAAGAATATTGATATAAATTTTATATATTTTCCTATATAAATTTTTTTAAATGAAAAACCCGATTATTTTTCCCGATGGAGAATTTGTCTGAGTATTATCCCACTTTTAGATTTTTTTACAGGTAAAATTCCATCTCTACGCTCGTCTAATGTTTGTGTAAAAATATTCAGCTATATTGTTATAATTGCAATCCCATATTTATTATGTAATGTTTTATTTTCAGGATTTAGAGGGAAATACTGACTGAAAAGCGAACGTTGTGCTGCGGCGTCAATCTTCACTGTTAATTCAAATTGCACCTTATTACCTAAGGTTTATGGTTTCTATTCGGCGGGTATTGGTGTATATGTATTTGTAAATTATATTAAATGGACCATTTAATGTATTTCTGTTTCTTATTAGGGTTGATAAATATGAGAATAATGTATTCTTCATCTCCCATAATGTTACTGTTAATATGTAAATAAACGAGCTGACATATAATATATAATATATTATAAATTCACTAAAATTGTTATGTTTTTACTTAAAAAATGAGGTTATATTTGAATAAATAAATTATTTTTCTGTTAATAATGACTATTTTTATTATTGCAACACGGTAAAAAAGTAAAATAGACAAAGTATTGTTGATAATAATTGATATGAGAGAGAGCTCTAATGAGTAGTAAAGGGTTAAAACGTTGGCTGCCCACCATATAACACCTATAGTATTTCTTCGCTCTATTACTGTAGTATTAAAGCAAATTTAAAATAATAGCTTTAGATTCAACCGTCAATGCTCATGTAAATCTGATCCAGCTATGATAACAATGGCAGCCAATGGGTTATGGACGGAACACAGTCTACGGCCTTCTCATACATTTAATAGTATCCCAATCACTAAAATGTTTCATTCACACTTATAGCATTAAAAGATCTATTGGCAAGTGGTGAAATACGGAACTAACGTCGCCATCTTGTAATAAGTATGTCAATTGTTGACCGATGACTAGATGCACTTTTATTCACAGTAGATTTACGTTCTTTTTACATCATTTACTATAAACTGTTTTAATTTAATAGGGTTTCAGACGACTTTTTTAAAATGTATTTGTAAATTTAAAAAATATATAAAAGTATGATTCGTGTAATAAGTTAAAATATAAAAAAAATATATATTTTAATCTTCTGTTATGGCATCGCTATGATGTAACGACCTCTAAAAGTGATATCGTTCTATACATATCTATTATATATAAGGTTAAATTCTCTAAATTCTGATATGATGTCACGCGCTGTTTTCGGTCACGTGACATCGAGTATATATTATATTTCTCATAACTAATTAAAGCGATATTATAAATAAAATTAATTAGAATAAAAATAAATAATTTAGATAAATAAGTGTTAACTTTCGTCATGGTATTTAACTGTTGTCAGAAGCACATTCTCTCGGCAGCCGCAGATCGTATTTCCTCTTTTTATTTTAAATTGAATTTACTGATGAAAAAAGCTATCTTGCCTACCATTTCCATACCAAATATTCCTGAATCTAGGCGTTGTTTTAATAGTTAAAACTATCATAAGCCAATGTCAACCTAATTATGGACTCAGGGGTTTCTCAGCAACGTCTTCCAGTGAAGGCTCTTCCTGTATTTCCGTAAGATCGGTCTGTGAGCAGCTGCCGGCCTCGTCTGTGAGTCTTGGCGTTCCTCCCGGGGAATGTATGTTCAATGTATTCATGGCAATATCAAGTTTCTCCTTCAAATACGGATATTCTTTGACCAAGGACTCCACTATGTAACGCAGCCGGTCGTTGAGTGATCGCGCTTGGTTATACTCCGCGAGAACGATCGATTTAGGTTTTTTAACTCGAACTGATTGTCGTTTCACTGCCGTGGCCAGTTCACTTCCCAATCGCTGACTGCGGACCACACGTTCCAAAAGCTAGAAGAAAGGAAGTGCTTTTTTACCATTAACTTGAAATAAAAAAATCGGCAAGTGCGATGGCTCTTGTACGGGGCCCCACTTAAATATTTATTTTATTATGTTTTAGTACTTTGTTATAGCGTTCATAGAAATATATAATAAGTGAAAATTTCAAATATTAGCTATCACGGTTCATTGGATAAAGCTTGTTGACGGATAGATGGATTGCAGAGTCTTACCGTTACTACCCTTTGGTGGAACGTGAATAAAAAATCTTGATACAGTTTTGTGTGGATTAAATAATAGGGTTGCCAGTTCTTTTCGGTCTGTAGGGACAAATGCTTAAATATGCTAAAATACGGGAATACTATTTTTATCCAGGATTAATAATAAAACAAATTTTTAATATTTTTCAGAGGAACAATATTTTTGTTGGATTTGACATTTATGAAAAAAAAAAACAATTAAATAGTTAAATATGGTAATAAATTCGCTTTTTATTAAGTTAAGTTTATTAATTAAGTTAACACCATTTGTGAAATCCATTTGATATATGGGACAAGTCGCCCACGGCAACACATTTGAATTTATGCCTTAAACAAAGGACATCTGGCAACACTAACTATTAATATTACCTGTCCAACTTTAATACAAGTTTCTTGAATTATTTACCGTGTTATTAAGATTTTTGAAGATGATTTAATTTTTCATAAAGAGTTATTTGCTTCTTTCTTTTGCTACATACATTTTTTTTTTCATTTATTTTGGCATCAAACAGTCATGTAAAATAACAATAATTTCATAAACAGTAATGCTAATGACTAAAAAGACCTACAGTGCCCAAGTTTAGTACAAACTAAGTGTTTTCATGTTTAAACGTGATCAGACAAATATTCATGCAATAATAAAAAAAATGCAAGTGATTACAACAAAAATCAAATCAGAGAAGAAATTATTTTTTACTTTAGGTTAAATTTCTTGAAAGTTCCATTTTAATATTCTTCAAAGATGTGTTAAAGAAATCTATGTTTGACAGTTTCTTATTATACATAGTGGTGGAACGATAAAAGAATGCGTTTCGGGTATAATTTTTCCTTCGACGCGGGGAATCAAAGAGAGGTAGTGTACGTGAGGAGCGTATAGGGATACATACCCATTGTTTTTCGCGTTCAGCGCTGCGACACTCGCACAGTAACGTGGCAATCTCTTCCTCCAAGCGTGCGTTGGCAGCAGCCGTGTCTGACAGCGCACTCTCCAAACGTGACTGTTCTTGCAGCAACTCTTCGAGATGAGCATTTGCCTCCGCCAGTTCCTGTATGCATATTATCACATAGTATAAAACAAAGTCGCTTTCTCTGTCCTATATCCCTATGTATGCTTAAATCTTTAAAACTACGCAACGGATTTTGAAGCGGTTTTTTTTAAAGATAGGGTGATTGAAAAGGAAGGTTTTTATGTATAATGATACAAGACCGGGCGAAGCCGCTGGCGGAATACTAGTTTATTAATATATTTTGAATGGGTCATTGTAAACTCGGCTTCCAAGTAGATTCGTCGTCTTCATATTGTGATTGAATTTTGAACAGTTAGGTGACCATTGGATGGCGAGCTTACAAAGATCCGTTTGAAGTGATATTGGTACGTATCGCTGAACAAGTATAATGGGAGTTCAAAGTTGCCAGATATACTGTAATTACAGTGGATTTACTGTATTTTTATGTACACCAGAAGTTATCACAAAATATGTATAACCAACCAAATTACCATAGATAAGAAACTTGTAAACGGATAAAGTTCAATAATATGTATCTAAATGATTAAAGAAACACGTGTACCTAGCAGGTTTTGATAGATTGACAATAGTTTCATGTACAACACAAGAGATGGCGCTAGTTGTATTTACACACCCAATAGGTGTATTATTTTGATATCAATACCAACACTATCATAGGAATCTCGTTGGTTGCCATTGATTACTGAGCTACAAACACCCAGCTTAGAGGAAGACAATGTCCCTTCACTAGCTTCCTCTACTTACATAGACCATAACCACCTTCCCGGTCGTCAAGTTTTTACCTTAGTAACCCTAGCTACATCAGCCCGGGCCAGTCTTAGCTTATGATGGTACGAGGACTGCGAGGTGGTGTTAGAGCCGTGCGCCTTCTCTACTGCGGCGGCGGCGCGACACTTGTCCATGGCGGTGTCACGTCGGGTCACGTATAGAGCGAGATCTTCTGCCAATTTCTCACTAGTACGCCGGAGTTGTTCGCGACGAACCTGTCAGTATTTATATTCTAGGTTAACTTTCGGAAGTCTGAAGACTTAAGTGGGTAAACTCTCAGAAGACGGACGACTAAATGGGAAGGCCCCGCACCAAGTAGCGGGAGCTGATAGAATGCTTACAGTGCAGGACGATCGTGCTACCAGGGGCGGATCTACCTAAGGGCTTAATGGGCTTAAGCCCAGAGCCCCGTGAACACTAAGGGTCCTCGACCCCCAATAAATAAAACGAAACAATATACAGTACGTCAATTTTATATTAGGTACTATTGAAGACAGTTTCTTAACAATTATACATTAGCTAATTAATAGGCCCCTGATTAGAATTAGCCTAGGGCCCCACAAATTCACGATCCGTCCCTGCGTGCTACGGTTTATTTCTCAGGAATTCTTACCAGTTACCGGGGCTTGGACTATGTGAGATTTTAATTTGAAAGGTAGTTCAAAAGCGCTCGACTAGCTTCGGATGGTCACGTTCGTAAGGGTGCGCCGTACCACCGTTAATTTCGTCCTAGGTTTCAGCATGCAAACTTTTTGTCTTTCATATTTAACATCATTTCTTTGTATTATTTACCTTTCGTAAATTAAATATGCTCTTTATGAATGTCAGTTCGTAAAAAATTCTTCTATTGTGGACATGTAAATCGTATAAATTTAAATATAAAAAATCATAATAATGAAGTTATATGATTGAAATAGAAATTATATATTATTTAAAATAAAATTATATCTTGAAATATCGTCCAAGTTTACAAATTACAAGAAACCCAAAAAGAGGTGTGTATTTGTTCTATTTAGCAACTGTAATTTTACATTTAGGTAACTTACGAACTGTTTCTACTTTTATTTTTATTTGTTATAGTTTTTTTATTTACCCTTTACTTATTTACCATAAAATAAATCAATTCCCAAGCTTAGTCAGCCTTTCATTAATTCGCCCAAGCATCGAACCCGTTTGAGTTTATGCATTTAAACGCAGTACCGTTGTAATAATCTTATAGTAGACCTTTTTCTTTATAAAGATCGCCGTAAAAAGCTGTTAAAGCAAAACTTATCACTTCATTAGTGTATTGTAATGAAAATTAATGGGCTTTGGCTTTGTCTATTAGGTTAAATCATGCTGATTACTTGGAAGCAAGCATGCATTAGCTCTTTTTCAGTTTATACCAATTTCACAATATAGTAGCTAAATCTAAATTTACTTAAGAAGGGATTTTTTTATGCATTACTTCCATTCGATGTATTTCATTCTTCATTTGACCAATTTCACCAGCTGCAGATTTAGCGTTTTGAATATTTTTTTTCAATTCAACAGCTAAGATTCCCTGCAAAAATATAACAACACATTTTCACGATGACTGAAATATTATGCAAATTCTGAACAATAGATTTCTTTAGCAAATAAACAGATGAATATGTGGATTAAAGGTAGTTCTATAATATGTTATCTACCTTTCTCTGCCATATAAGTGCTTCTCTTTGAACTTGATCCAACTGTTGCGTCAGATTAACTTTTTCTTTGTCCATCGCTTCGATCTCTTCTTCTAGTTGAATTATTTGAGTTTCTGCATCCTGTAATCAACCATTGTTATTTAATGGGGTTTGTACTTTGGTTGCTATGATTATAATAAATGAGAATTTGCTCCGATTTGTATGTTTTGGTTATTTTTGCTATTTTTCTTACTCTGTACAGGAACCTGTCCTCTTGTACATATATTCCCCCTTCCCACACTTTCCATAGTTTCTGGGCTAATCTGAACTAAAGTATGTCAAAAGGCTCATCATCTTCGTTTCTCTAATACACATCCCAGCGTCAGGAAAATCCAGAACTTTAACGACAACTTCCTTCAATTGCGTTGAACTTCCACAGAACTTATTTGCTAGAGTAAGTGTCAATCATAAACGTTGGTAACTTAGATAAAAGGACAATAGCAACTGACCTTGAGATTGGCCACGTATTCGTGTGTGATCGCCTGCGTAGACTTCTGCGCGGTCTCGTTTCGTTCGAGGGCGTCTTTACGCGTCCGCTCGAGAACCTCCAGACGACCACGCAAAGTTCTCAGCGAGCGTTCCACGCGGTTACGTTCCATCAGTACATTTTCACACTCAGTCTGTATACGCATCGATTTCTGCTCGCAGATTTGTATTTCTATAGCAAAAAAAAAAAGAAATGCTTAGGTCATCATCATCGTTATCATCAGCCCTTTATTTCGTCCCCACTGCAGGGGCTCAGGCCTTCCTTATGGATGGTTAAGGAGCAAGGGCCATGACCCTCCAAGATGGCCCAATGCGGATTGACCGGAATACTGCACTATAATTTCATGATTTACGTGTCGGGAAAAGAGTGCGGAAGAGAGATACTTTCCCTACAATTTAGTAATTTAGGAGTCGTGATTTAGAGTTCAAATACGTTTGCCCCATTTGTAGTTCGGGATATCTTATAGATTGTAAATTATATCGATATCGATTTTGACAGGCCCGGGATAAACTATTTTTATTATTAGGTGCAAAAACTTCGTATAGCGCCGTTCCTCTACCCCCTCCTCTCTTTACGCTCCGGGAGGCCGGATTTTATATTATCATATTTTAGAATGTAATAAATTATGATGATTTTGGCGCCCCTCCTAGATCCAAGCCTGGCTTATAAGGACGATATCAACTGCAATCAACTGTCAAATGCAGTATCTAATTTTATTACATTATATTAATAGTATTTTAACCTATGTAAAGGGAGGTGATAGGGGTTTTTAGGAAATTGATTTTGTGCTTATAAACACCTTAACCTTGTCTTTTGCATGGCTAGATTAGCCTATGCTATGAGCGTTGGTGTTAGTATCTACGTCACTGCCTCTTGAGCCCAGTTTGTACTCACGTTTGGCAATAAGGTTGATATCAGCGACCACCTTGTGGTGTTGTGCGGTGAGTTTGACCACGTGCCCCTGCAGCCGCAGCCACTCGTGCTGCAAACCTTCTGTTCTCTCGCGCAATCCCTTGATTTGCTGCTCCAGCTCCTCAATGCGACGCTCTTGTGGTGACTTCATCTAGAAAAGTTACCAATATAAATATTTCATAAAAACACCACTACTTTGCGGGATATTTTGGAGGAAGCAATTGAGGCAATAGGGGGGGATTTTCAGATAAGTCTTTTGAAAGGTTTTGCAAACACACACTTAGCAAGCAAACTAAAAATGACGAAATTTTTTTCAGTAGTTAACAATGATATAAAGGTAATAGTGAATTGACGACCTCCGTAACCGAGTAGTTCATGACGGTTTCAAGGTTTTGCCAACTCTGAGATCCCGGGTTTGATTCCCAGTCGGGTTAATGTAGAAAACGGCCTTTTCTATATTGCCTCGGTCTGTGTGGGTACCATGGTACCTTCGTTGTCTCAGAACTCCATAATACAAAGGGCTTTTAGCTACGCGTCTTAAAATCTGAGCAATATATGAGTTAAAAAACAAGATCCGCTGATCTGCTCTATCGTTTTTTGCAATGGCAACTGATAAGTAAGACTCACATCGAATATTTCTTTCAAAGCATTAAATTTTTTCATGATGATATCGAGTTCCCTCTGCTTCCTAGTGCCCAGGAGAGCCTTCTGATCGAACTTCTCTTGCAGTAGATCTATTTCTTTCTCCCTCGCACGGACCTTCGCCAGGCTCTCTTCTAGGACCTTGTTGTTGCGCGCTTGCCGGTTACGATACACCTCAATGTCTAGCATCACTTTCGCATGCTGATTCTCCATAGACATAAGCGATATTTCCTGAAAGTAAAAATATATAGCAAGGTCTAATATATATTTTAGCATGATTTCTATTAATAAGTTAAAATGAGTGCTTAGTGGAAGCAATATTATAGTTATACAGTATAATATTGCAGTTAATAGTACAGTTTTTAAATTTATATTTCACCATTTGATAATTACACAAAAAGTAAATAAGCAAATCTTGAACCTGTTTCCTGGACAATTCTCGCATCTTCTTAATTCCATTAGCCATAGATTCGACAGCTTTATCGTTGAGCAGACAGTCTTGCAAGTTCATCAGGATCTCGTTCTCCAGTTTTAATTTTTGTTCTGTTTTACGATCAACTTCATTGCACGTACTTTTGAATATATTTAGCATAGTTTGGTTCTCCTGAAACATGTTATAATACAAAACACAAATGTGAAGTAATGTATGTTCGTTCAGTTGTATAATTATACAAAAGATGACATACGGTCTTAATCATTTCTTGATCTCGTTCTGCCATTTCAATGGCTTCTCTAAGTTCAGCATTTTGCGCTTCCAAATTAAGTCTCTTATTGTCCTCTGTATCGACTGAAAATAATAGCCATCTTAGTGGAAATATTGACTCAAATCATGCCAGACTGGACTGGAATTGGTGCACGTCAAGTAAGTAGATACTACGTAGGTACGTACTTGTTGTTTTTGTTGCTGCTGAATGTATTTCTGTCAATCTTTAGGTTAGCTGCCTTATTTTACCCGCTACAAGTTTAGAATCTAATCTAATTCTTAAAAATACTGTGGTGTCCACAAGAACCATGCTTTTATTTTTTATATTTACTTTTTTTACAATAGGTTGTATAAATTACAGGCATTTAGTTTTTCCTTCATTAAGGAGGAGATTATTTACCAATGTATTACTTTAGCGATAAAATTGTTCACATCGTCATTTAGAGGTAGCCCTCTTTTAATTTTAAACAAAAGTGAAGTGTCCTCCGCAAACAAAACTATTTCATGATTATCCCTTACGAAATAAGGCAAGTCATTTATGTAAATTAAAAACAAGAAAGGACCAAGTATTGAGCCCAGTGGAACACCTTTCGATCCAGGGCATTTTTACTTTCGATCCAGGGCATCTTTTGCCATTGATATCAACCCTCTGCACTCTGTCAGTCAAGTATGAAACAATAAAATCCAATGAGCTGATCGTCGATTGTTAACATTCCACCAAGCTCATGCACCAACACTTAAAGATAAAATATTTTCAGTTATCTACTTACACATCTTGTTGGCGTGCTCAATGTCATACGCGACCTTGTCTTTATTCATGGCGAGCTCCTTACTACGATTCATTTCCTCCATCAAGGCCTTCTTCGTGATCTCCAAATTGTTCAGTAATGTGCGATAATTCTCTTGAAGGTTTCTAAGATTTAAGATGGTCAGACTGCTTATAATTTTTATTGCCTACGTTTCTAATTACTAAATAAGGAATGAAAGATTCAGATGGGAGATTTCACACATCCACATGATATGGATATAATTAATACGAATTTTCATAATTTTATCAATCTTATTCTATCAGCGGTATCGCCTTCATGGATGAGGCACCCTCTAAAAGTGATAATACCTACCAGTCTGTCTTCATTCTTCTAAGTTTCATCGATGGTGTACGGACGTTTGAATAACCATTCGAAATAATTGTCTGACTGTAATTATGTGTTTTATTAAGTTATTTTGCTTTTACTAATTAAAAATTATTTAAACTAGTTACTTGCAGTAATTGCTGCTCTAATTATTGGTTTAAATGCAGTTCAAGTGTTTTTGGTTTTATTATTATCTTATAATAGTTACAAAATATTCTGAGATAGTATTAAATAGACAATTATTACTAAATTCATATAAAAAAAAACTACTGTGATGTTACTAAGTATACAATACTCAACATTTTTTTTTATTAGTAGGTTTTAAAAGAGAAAAAATTCTTATTAAAATTTGTGCATATTTTTCATGTAAATATTTTCTTTCACTATCCGTTATAGCAATGTATATACCTGTAGTCATCCCGTACAGAGTCATAAACCTTATCCCGCTGCTGTATGTTGACCAGCACAGAGTTCCAGAGGCTCACCAGCCGTCTCTTGTCCAGCTCCAAGTCTTCTAACTCCGCCGCGTATGCCGTCACCTTAATACATGAGATAATAATCTTAATACATGAGATAACTACTCACACCCTACTAATATTATAAACACCAAGTTTGTGAGGATGTCTGGATGTATGTATGTTTGGTACTGTTTCACGCAGAAAGTACTGAATGGATTTGGTTGGAATTTGGTATACGAAAGGCCAATTCTACTAAATAAATTTTGTTTAAATCTAATCGAAAACGGATCGAAACCAAACGAAACTACGGTTTTCCTATTCTACAAAGTGACATACGATATAATTCCAGTGATTATCCAAAATTTATTTAGTAGAATTGGCCCCCTGAATTAACATAAGCTACTATCCTACTAAACGGTTCCTTATGGACAATGCGGGTGAAGCCGCTCGCAAATAGCTAGTATTCATATCATATTAAAATACTAGTACAGTATTTTTTACAATAATTCAATCGCCTTAACTCTTTAAAAATAGGCGTACTATAGATAGGAGGCGTACAAAAATCAAGAAATTGAAGCATTATTATTACGTACCGCTGTGTCTACAATGAAATAGAGGGTTGCAATCGTCTAAATCTAAGTATGACTCTACTCTAGCCATAGCTTTGACAATTTTTTATTACTTTTATCAATGAATACGTTAATATTATTTTATAACGTACGATTTTATATAGATTTAGTTTCCGAAATAGCGATGTCATATTTTAATTTAGTTAAATTGAAACAGTTTTATTATAACTTTAGTTTATCGATATCGATTTATAAAAAAACGTAACGTAATTCAGTAAACTACAACAATAAAAAGCAATGGTTAAATATGAATGATAAAAAAGTATATACTCAATTATTGATCAAATCAATAAAAGCTATTATAGCTATAGCTAGAGTCGTAACGTAACTGAGCTAGAGAGACGCAGATGGGCTGTGACTCTCACATCACAACGTACAATATAACCACAGACAACCACATATAAACTTTATTCAACACTAAAAAACATCGACGAGGATGGGATTCGAACCCATGCGTGCAGAGCACATTGGATTAGCAGTCCAACGCCTTAACCTCTCGGCCACCTCGTCTCAAACGACGATGGCTAATTAAAATATCACTTTCGAATTATAAGAAGATAATGCTTGACATAAATTTTTAATAACCACTTCAAACTTTTAATACTAATAATATTTTAGTACTTATTTATAACATAGATATTTAATAAAATATATTTCATAAAAGAACCCTTATACTTCTTGTTTAAATATCAAATCGTTGTTTTTTTTTATTATTATAAAAGTATGAGAAATGCCCAAAAACATTAAACTCAGGTACCCCGAGGTACGTCTCGAAGCCACAACCTTCCTCGATCCGGGCGACTGGTCCAAGGAACATATATTCTAGGCGAAGACTGCTCTAACTATTGAGCTTTCCGAGACCTAATATAACGAAACTGAATGTTTCAAGCACTTGTTACTTTAAAAAGTAGGTTTTTTATTATCTACTACAAAATCTGACCGAAATTACCTTATCGTTCACTTTATCCATCTCGACATTTTTGATTTCGAGTTGTTTCTGAAACATTTCCAACTTCGACTCCAACCTCCACACTTCGTTGCTCAATCCTAAAATAATCATATCCTGAAAGTAAAAACATAACAAATTTATACACAGATACACTATTTATTTAGTTATTTAGTAATGCGATATCAGATATATAAATACTGTCAATTATAACTGAATCTTAATTAAAAATTATATCTGATATATGTATGTCACAACTTTAAATCAGTAGTCTAGTCATTGTTGTTTTGAGGTTTAATATTTTAGCTAACTCTTGCCGTTATAGCAAGCCCACTGTCCCTGCCTATTCAAACCCATGGTTAAAATTTATGAACAATCACGTGTTAACAAAGTATATAACGTGTTAAAAAATATGTTTATTTGCTCTTCGGTCACATAACACACGCGGTTCACTAACTTAGTTTAGAATCTGAGCAATATGTTATTATCAAATACTTATTATGATTATCTGATAAAATAATTCTTGGCCAGGGGTGCGACCGCCTAACTCATGGACGTAGCCGTAGTCGTAGCTATAACCTACGCTTTATAGGTTTTACACATGAATCTGTTGATATTGTTTTAAAATTAATCATTTTTTATTATTTACATATTTAATCAACGCTTTTAGTTGTTTTTGTTTGCTAATAAAATGTCGAATTGATACAAACAATGCTATTTCGATAAGAAAAACAAACCAAAATGTTTGATAAAATCTATAAATTAAAAAAAAAAACAATTAATTTTAAAAGAATATAAACAGATTCATAAGAAATGTCGATAAAGCGTAGGTTATAGCTACGACTACGGCTCCGTCCATGAGTTAGGCGGTCGCGCCCCAGGTCCATAGTAGGTACATTTCCCACGACTTCAACAACTGTTAAATTAATAAATCCATTGTTTTATGATCGTTAATTACATACTTTACATTGGATTTTGATATTTCTAATAAGAAAATAAGGTGCTACGGGCATATCGACTAGAAACTTTTCTCGAGAATCGCACGTATCTACAATACCAGTTCTCGTTTTTCGTCGGCGAGCGCACGTTTCTCAGCGCGCATCTTGTCGGACATGCGTTGACTGACGGTGAGGTCGGATTCGGTCTCTGTACGCCACGACTCCAGCTGTCGGCACAGCGCCGTCAAAGCTTCCAGCTCTTCAGTCGCCTCCCGTTCTGTATAACATCAATGGTTCATTTTTAGGGTTCCTTACCAGGAAGGTACGAGTAGCTCGGTGTTGTAGGGAGTAGCTTGGTGGCGTAGCGATCATTGTCGTTAAGCAACTTTCGCAAGGGTCGGTAACGGGATGGGTGACTAAAAAAATTATTATCTGGAGCTACTACGTGCTTCGGAAGGTACGTTAAGCCGTTGGTCCCGGCTGCATTTGTAGCCGTTAATACCCGCCAATCCGCAGTGGGCCAGCGTGGGGGGTCATGACCCATGCTCCTTAACCATCCATAAGGAAGACCATCCATACGAAATAAAGGGCTGATGATGATGATGATGATGATCCGAAAGGTAAAACGGGAAGCCTAGACTTCGCTGTATGTCTGTCGCCAGGGTGTCGCTCATGAACCGTGAAAGTTAGACAGCTGAAATTTTTACAGATGTATTTCTGTTGCCACCTCAACAAAAATCACTAAAAAAAAGAATAAAATAAATGTTTAAGAGAGTTCCCATACAACAAACGTGACTTTTTTGCTTGTTTTTGTTCGATATTGATAATGATAACAGGTAGACGATTGAAATATTTACAGAATATATATTTATACAAATTTTGTCCGGTCAGGAGTGACAAGGTAATCTTGGGCCACTTCAGTTTGTGATCATGATTGATCTGCCTAGGGTAGTTGAAAAGGCACAATGTCTTTTATTTGCTAACGACCTGAAGCTTTTCCTTCCGATAAAAAGCATGGCAGACTGTGTATCATTACAAAATGATATAGATAGGGTGGTAATATGGGGTGAACATAATAAACTGAAGTGCAATACATCTAAATGTGTTACGAAATCTTACACTCGAAATGTAACCCTATTTAATATTATTACAGCATAAATTCGATAACATTGAATAGGGTATCGGAGGTAAAGGACTTGGGAGTTCGCTTCACGACTGACTTAAAATTTCATGCCCACATAATAATTATTTGTGGTGAAGCGTATAAAAACTTAGGATTCGTTATTCGAAATAGTAAAGAATTTACAAATATAAAGTCAGCAATAGCATTACACAATGCACTAATAAGAAATCAGCTCGAGTGTAATACTATTTATCGAATTTTCAATTTTACATCTAGGGATATCTAAACATTAAATAAAACTTTCTCGGTAAAATAATTCATTTATCTATGCGTTAGTCAGAACGCCTTCAAGTGCCAAACAGCTAAAAGAGGGGGTAGCGCCCAAAACACTGTCTTCTGCCCTATGTGATAAAAGAAACTATTTATATTTATTTATGTACACTCAACTACTTAAGAGCGAGTATTAGTGCAGAGGATCCGCCCATACTAATTCTCTTTTTTTATTTCTGAGCAATCAATAGGTTTTAATATTCCAGATAAGTGCCTTGTAAATTAGTTTTTGTTAGTTTAACGTATTATATGTAGTAAGAAAAACTATAACGGGTCTCTAAAAAACATTTTTCTCAAGAATCACCCAAATAAATTACCCGTAATGATGTCTTGTTCCAACTTATCCTTGGCACGTTTGTATCTCTCATTATATTCACGAGCACGTTCCTCTGCCGCCTTCCGCTCCGCAGTCCTCTGCGCTAGAGTTGACTCGTATTCTGTTATCAACGCCTTAAAACAGCAATACATACCGATGACAAACAATTCGAACATTAATTCTACCTATGTGTAATTTAAATTAATCAATTAAACAATATCAAGTTTCGTAGCCTAATTTAAGCTTACGAAAACAATAGAATTATTTCTGAACTTTTAAAAATTATTTAATGAATCACTTTAACGACAACCGACGTGGTAGAGGCTTGCACGGTAATCATAGATTTGCCAATTTGCATTCTGAATGCAAAATTGTTCAAATATAATATTTTTTTTTAGTTTAATTGTGGGGGTCGCAATGTGGTATGATGGTTTTTTCGGAATTCCACAACAGGCTCTTAATTAAGTTTAAGTAGTTACAATGATGGCAAATTAAAATTCCATAACTAACTAAAATGGGTACCGAATTATGTTGTTTAGTATTTTATTATGAATTATAAATTTATTGTGAAGTTAAATATAAAAACTCAAGCTCGATGTCTCAAGCAACTTTCGCAATGGCTGGTCATAAGATGGGTAAACAAAAATGTACTTCGGAAGGTACGTTAAGCTGTTGGTTCTGGCTGCACCTGCAGTCGTTAATATGAGTAATACCCCAAGTAGCACAAAACACCATTACATCAAACTTATAATAGCAGGAGTCCAAGCGTTAAGCATTATAATAAAATCGTATATCAACCGTATTTCTTTTAAACGACTCTTATACATAAAATTTGGGCCCCCCCTTTGTACGACTTTAAGCTTTATAAAAGCTGTGCAATAGCACTACAACTTTTGTATAATAGCATTTATAAAGTCGGGTAAAAGCATTATCGGGTAAAAGTTCAATTAGCACTTTAAGGTGCTAATTGAACTTTTTGTGACTATATTACGATTGATATGCGTAAATCAAAATTATAATACGTTAATTTAATATTATAAAAATGCTTACTGTTTTATTTCCTTTGTAAAAAAGTATATTTAATAGATTTTAAAGACATATAATCGGTTTAAATTATTGTTTTGTGTAAGTGTCATGACATGTTCTCTTGGCTGGTCTTTTAAATATTTTTGAATATTGATTTGAACAGCTCATTTTGTGTGAAATAAGCTGCACACATCAGTTTGTGGAGTAAAATATACAAGTTTATGGTGTAAAATACACGCGCCTTCGCAAACTTCCTTTAATATAATAAAAATAATAAAAAATTTAACCTAGTAGCAAAAATTTTTGTTGAATTTTAGGCTTTTTAGCATTGTTTTAACAACATAATTGCTTTTATAGGCATCTGTGTACAAAATAAATGATTATTTACCCCTTTTCATCTGACACAGTTGACTTTAAATATTTTGTAAGAATTGGAAAAAGAAAGCAAATGGCGACTCGTAAAATTAAAGCATTAGGTATTCAAATATGGTGTAGTAGAGCTGTTAATCGTATTATGGTTAGACACAAAACTAAGAGCTCGTAATTTACCGTATAACACACTCCCATTTTAGTTACAGCCGTATTTTTACACTTCAGAAGTATCTTATAGTGCTTATAATCATAAAACGATTATTTCATTTTTATTTTGATTTTTAAAAGCTTCAATTAAATTAGAATACTCTTTTTTCAGTTTTCATTTATATCCACCTGTTTTCTTTGTTTTTCCCAACGTTTTTTGTCCATGGCGCCAGCGATGCGTATAAAATGCCACCATTACAATACAATACATTACATAAAATAATTTTACATTTTAATTTCACATAAAAAATAATTACGATCTATTTATTACATCTATCTCTATAAATAACTTAATATTGATCAAAATATAGCTTAATGTTTTATAAAAGCATAGATTAAGAAGATAAAGGAGCTTGAGCTTGATTAAAGAATACTTTAAGAACAAATCGGTGCTAAAGTTTTACTAGTTCTTTATTCAATGTGTATATAGGATAAGCATTAATCGATACAACCATAGACCATTAGAAAACCTTTGTTTCTAGAAAATGACTAAATACAACTAAGTGCACTAAATAGTATTACGTTAATGCTTATATAATATATAATGTTTTTCATATCACCGAAATACGATAACAGCTTTATATTAATAATACCCAATACTTAAATAGGAGTTTTGACATTGGTATACTTTTTTTATTAACCATAATATGGCATTAAGCATTATTAGATAAAATAAATGGTGAAAAATATAAGACAAACCCTTTGCGCATTGGTGTCATGGTCGCTCCGGTATATGGCTTCCAAGTCTTGCTCATAGCCCAGCTTACTCAGTCTCAACTCTTCGCGCTAAAATAAAAAAATTGAAAGACAAAACCGAGACGTGGAAAATAATGAAAACTCATGAACATTTAAATTACTTGTTACTGTGATGAGTATATTTAAGAATTTTAAAGGCTTCTGTATCGTCTTCTGTTTTTCAAAAAAATAGATTTTAATTTTAACAAAAATCCTAGTAAAACAAAATAAGTACTCGACCTTTTTTTTCTTCGATGATATTAATATGTCGTCTAAATATTTTATTTATTTAACTGAACATCCCATTTTTAGGGTTTTATAATAAACAAGGAACCCTTATAATTGCGCTATGTCCGTCTGTCCGCGGTTTAGCTAAAAAGCTATTGGTACTAGAAAGTTGTTATTTGGCATGATTATAGAATTACACCGACAAAGTGGTAAAGTAAAATTAAAAAAAAATAATTTTTCGTGTATCTCACCTACGGGATGGAGAATGATATTTTTTTTCGTCTTCGCCGTAGTGTGGGGCATCGTTAATAGGTCTTTCAAAAACATTGGGAGTGTGGGAAGGCAGTTTTTCAATTAATTAAACCGTTTGTGACTTATTAAGCTACATAGAGCTAATTTTCGTTAGAGTTAATTGTCCTCCCCCCTCCACGAACTAAACGGCCGTTGGTGAAAATTCTGACATTACGGCAGTACGGCACACTTAAGTTTTGGCTTTGCAAGTTTATGAGTAATAGTCGATCAATTTTATTTAACTCGAAAATTTCGAACAATCACATAGATAGTAGTACGGAAGCCTTCGTGAGCGAGTTCCACTCGCATTTCGCCAGGTTTTATTTTGTTTATTTTGATAATCAGTCCTTAAATTGCCAAAAACAGAAATCTATCGGAACTTTAGAATATAGGTAATTATTATGACTTCACTCAAACAAAATAGGTTATAATCACTTTACCCAAACATAATAGGTACATGGGTAGTTAGCGAAATTGGTCTATTACTGCAGAGATTATACTACTTTCTCATCAGTTGGATTAATAAAACTTGGTTAAATTATTACTAAGCCGTTAATCAGGCCCGGATCTACATTTTTTTTAACCGGAACAGAAACTTCTTAGGGCGCCAAACCAAATATTACCAAATTGAGGATTTGCTCTTCAGCAATAGTGTTCTCCTTTTCGAGAAACTGCTTGAGAGTCTGCTGGAACCGCTGCATCAGCGGGTGCGTGGACTCGAGCACGGCAGGCATTACGCCAATGTCACGCTTACTACGCCATCTAAATATAGTATAGTTGCTTATTAATATAATAATATTTTTATTTTTTCATCTCTCTGATGTCAATAATAGCTGGTTTACACGTATTAAGTAGATTTTTGACTCATTTTAAATTATTAAGTACGCGTAAACACACAAATAACTAATAAGTTAAAAAATTCCCTAACTACTCATGAGCATAATTGAATTTAAATAATTTAAATTACGAGTAAAACAACAATAAGAAAAAATCTTAAAAAGCGTTCAGTTTCCGATATCTTTATCACATTATATATACCTATAATTACCAGTCATAGTTGGCTAGTGAAAATCAGCAAAGTAGGAAGGACCACGTTAGACTTTTTAAAATTTCATTTAAGTATTGATTTCAATTGCCAAATTAAGCAACTTTCACAAGAGCTGGTCATAAGATGGGTGACCAAAAATTATTATCTCTAGCTCCTCCGTTCTTTGAAAGACACGTTAAGTGGCCGGTTTCGGCTGCATCTACAGTCGTTAATACCCACCAATCCGCACTGGGCCTGCATGGTGGGTTATGGGCCCATTCTCCCTGTTCAATTCTATTGCATCCATAGGGTGGTGATTATGATGATGATAAATCAAGATATAGTATAGTTAAGTTAGCACCAAGATTATACTTACTCATCAAAAACCTCTCGGCCAGCCTTCTTGCAGCGACACTGATCTACGAGACAAGCGCAGCATTGGCATATTCCGTCCTCGAACTGTGGAGTTTCACATTCGCACGTCTCTGGCTCCTATACAATTATCCAATATTTTATTTATAATAGCACAATAGGGGCGTAGACAACATTTTTATATTTTTATTTTTTAGATATACAAGGAGTATATCTAAAAAAGTATCATTCAAATATTAAGCTAAAATAAAAAAAAACTTTTTTTCAAGTTTTCCCGCAAAAACGCATAGCGACTCTAACTTTCTAACTCTATACTCGTTTATACTCATATTAGAACTTGGAGAATTCAACCTTATGCATACATAGAACAATATTTGTTTCTTCTGTCATGACGTCATAGCGACGCGTAAGAGGGGCGTAACGTCACGCACTGTTTGCGATCACGTGATTAGTATGAAATATTTGTAATTCATAATTAATTTAAGCAATATTATAAATAAAAAGCAATAGCAATAAATAAATAATAAGCATAAACGCATAAAACACGACCAGAAAAAATATATTTTCGTTTACTCTCGACACCCATATTCAAAACTACTTTAAAGTCAATGTTCAATTATTATGATAATACCAAAACGTTGACTGGTAGAGAATGCCCAAGGCACTAAGTCTGAGTTTGTATCAAAGGTTTATAAAATGTAGTCGATATAAGATATATAATCAAAGTTTGGCCAAGAATCAAACCTGAAACCTTACGGTGAAACCATAACACCAGAGTACTCCACACTTGACTACAAGACTGAGTACCTACTAACTCACGTGTGGAAATATAATTTTCTCATTCTTGTATAGAAGACAAGTTTCCTCATGGATCACGATCTCGTGCTCATCTCTGGGGCAGACGCAGTGAGGGGTAAGGGGGCCCGAAGACGATGATGATGATTCCGTGCACGGACACTGCCCATCCGACTTTGTAGACTCCGACATTATACCAACTATAAAACTGAAACTTTAAAAAAGTCCACTCAAAATAATAGCTTCGTACTCTCCTCGATACCAAAGAGTATGTAACAAACTCGTTACCTAGCAACCAATGCGTAAATTATCTTGCAACATAAACAATACTTACTTTTGCTTCAAAAATAACATAAAAACTTTTTTGAATCTTGTAAAAGTTTGATCGAACTTTTTGTTGCATCCTCCTTGGTAGGAGTGCTGTTATTGTTGCTATAGTAACGCGTTGATGTCAACATTCGCACCAAAGCTGCTGGAAAAAAAATTAAAGTTAAGAAGAAGAAGGAAAAAAACTATCCTAAATTAATAAAATGGTAAGTGGTTTGTTTAAAATAGTAATTATATATCGGCGTTCAATTTATTTACTAAGACGTTATAAATGGCGAAGTAGTGTGATACGTGGTTAATTCCCACTTTCACTGTAATCTCTTATTTTATAAGAGCTAAGATTAAATTAAGTATGTAGTTATGTTAATACGACGAGACGATATCTTCGTCAAAGGTCCATATTAGATAAACTTATTAAAAAAAACAAATAATTAGTTTTGAGAATAAATTTATTCCTAATATTCTTGCGGAATTCATCTTAAGGAAAAATGCTTTTTAAATTCGCTAGTCCCAGTGCACGAATAGGGAATTACTTTAAGATAAATATTGATATAACATTGTGAATGCAAAATTGATCAAATATATTAATTTATTAATCAAGTAATATAATTGTTATTTGCTAATAAAATATTGTGCTGGAGTTGGAGTGGCGCGTTTACTGTCCTTATCTTACACCCGTTTTCACTAACCAAGACCAAGTCAAAGCTTAACTAGGAAACGCCTAATCTTACGAATAGCTTATAAAGATAAGTGTAAATCGAAATAAATAAATTGCTTTTATGTCTTGATACACGTGTAATCTGTCATATTATGCAAATGCCTAGCGCCGGATAGCGCAAGTCATGGCTTTAGACGTTGCTTCATGTCGTTAGGTATTTCTTACTCATTGGTAAAATGCATAATTCCACCTTAGGCGATTCCTAAATATGTATTTAGGCGTCTGATTTGAGCGTCTCTTAAGTTAAGTATAAACGGGCATAAGTGCACTGACTTTGAAGACATGCAAGACTGTGTCTTTGGGTCACAGTCTAGTAGGTATATGTCTAAGCCTGTCTAACCCAGTTCATATCTCAGATAACAATTTAAATATGTATTTTATTTGTTCTTGTAAAGAAGAATGGGCTAAATTGTATGGAATGGAGTGTGGGTGGTCCGTGGGCGAGTTTAATTTTGAGATTTAGTTTTATCGTTGCCATGTAAAATAAAACACATTTTCTGTTTGAGCACTTTGAGTTCTTTTCTTGTGTTAAGTAAAAATAGGCAAAGTAACACAAAATTATTAAACATTTGTTAGATCCTGTCGCGTTCCAAGCCTGCGACAGACAACCGCAGCGGCGGTAACTCATCAGCAAAGAGGAACTTTCCTGAACTGGAAGATTTTATACTAAAGAGGGATTATGTCGGTGCTCTTACAATGCTAGAGGTAGATGTCTTGAAATTAACTAACTAATGTAATCATTTCTTAATATTATCTTATGTAACGAGTATTCATTGAACAAACCTTATTTATAATTTTGATTACTTTAACTAACTTTTACAAATGATTCAACTTTATAAAAACTTTAAGGTGAAATGTAACAAATAAGGCTGACTCATTTTTCAATTTCATAGAGTTTAAAAACTTTTAAGTTTTTGAGCAGGAAAAGACGAAATGATAAGATGAAAGTATATTTAGAAAACCTTAATTCTCTAACTTTGTCAACAGAACTTCTATATGTTGACCAAATCGAATATTTTAGATATACCTGTAATAAAAGGTACGACGTTGGAAACAAAATTTCCCATAATATAGAACATAGTTTCCCATAATATAGATATTTAAGCCGGAATATTGAAAAAATCATAATAGAGATTTGCTTGTTTAATACAGAAATCAATCAAGTTGTCTTTTTCCATTTATACTTAATAAATTTACAAATATATATCCCCTTCACAAATGTACAGTTAAAAAATATTTTTAATTGGATCCAACAATTATCGTATAACGAAACAGAAAAACTATTGGTGATAGATAGGTAATCAAATAACTCTATAAATCCTATTACTAGCTATTACACAACCTCTCACACACACTCACTCGCAATCATCTTACACACAGAGAGGACAGCCTACTTTACAAACTATACAATAATAAATATACCTACATAACATGCAAATAATAGCTAGTACAAGTTGAAAACTTCTGATTGTTAGATCTATTTAGTGTAGCTTACAATTTTCTGAAAACAGAGGTGCTGTATGTAGAAATACAGGCTTCAACCAAGTTCGGCAACAGATAATAAATAGATATTAATAAAAAATCATAAGCGTCACTGATTTAAAACTCGTTGTATCGGTTATATATAGCCAATGAAGATTATTATTATATGTGTATATAAATTACATCTTATCTATCTACGTTTTACCTTTTTGGAAAAGAGATAATAGGCGTAAAGTGTTATCTTTGCCCAGTTCCTCCAGCACGAAGGCAATAGTGAGGTGTGGGCGGAAGTCTGGGCGGGCTGGTGCTGGTTCCACTTGGGGGAGTATAAGCGCGCGCTCGACGAGTACATGCGCGTGCGCACCAGGAGCGGACTAGACGAGCGCGTCACCGATAATATTGCCATAGACATCGCCGTCTGCTATTTCTACCTCGGTACGTAGATCATCATGATCTGCCTACCGATGCTGGGGCACAGCAGGTCAATATTTGCGTAATAATCACATCTCAATAGTATCTCTTTACTTACTCGCATTTTGCCATTGTACTATCTACCTGAAATCCAATATTATTATTTATACACATTAATCTTGACAGATATAAAACATATATTAGCAGAAATGGCTTGCAGGCCTTCCATATGGATGGAATCGAAGTGAGTCGAACAGGTAGGAATAGGCCATGATCCACTACGGGCGATTGCGCATGGGTATTAACTACGGCAGATTCAGTCGATACCAACGACTTATCATGCATTTTAAAATACGGAGGAGCTCGAGATAATACATTTTTGGTAACCCATCCTATGACCGGTATTTGCGAAAGTTACTTAACTTCCATATTGCAAACCGTACGTGCTGACCACTGCGATGTTTTCTCGATATGTCACATCAAGTACAAGTGTATGATTATGACAGTATTGTATGTACCGGACGGTATCTAAACAACATCCTACATTGCTTACATTCCAAAATTCGAGACAAGCAGCTAAAGCTCTTGCGGAATATTTGAAAAAATGAAGGTACCACCACACAGAGATCCTAAACAATGAAGATTTTCTACATAGACCATGAATCGAACCTGAGACATTAGTTAAAGATAGTCAATCTAACCTTGAAACTGGCCTGGGAGCCACTCGCTCATGGAGGTCGTGAGTAGAAAGAAATTAAAGAAATTGCTTATTACATGATTCAACGTTAGCTATAATAGCACTTTTATTACAGGTATGTATAAAGAGTCACAAGAAGCATCCGAGCAAGCACCTAAATGCGCTCTTAAGGTTGGTTCGCTCTGTATATTTTTTACGATAGACAAGCAAACATTACCCTATTTAAGACCCTACTGTTTATCTGTTCTGTACATAGACAAGCAGCATAAATTAAACCTAAGTTTTTACACTCCCTAGCGAAGAAAATGATCTCTAATGTCCCCTTTAGGTAGAATTTACAGACATTTGGGCTGATATCACTGTCGTGAACTTCGATGGAACACACGATTAGAATATTCGTGTCACACAAAGCTTAAAATGCAAAGCGGCACACAAATGTATTTTTTTTATTTTGTAAATTTTGAGGTGATTTTTCAATTTGACATATACGAATTTGGGTTGGTTTATATACGAATTATATACGAAGTCGTGTGCCTGCTGATCTGACCGAAGTGCTCTTGCTCAAGATATTTTTTTTTTTTTATTATAACGTACTCTCCACCATTAACCTTTTCGTTTGCTTGCACTATCGAGTTTTTGCGGCATTCATCACTGTAATTACTTTATATGGCTGAAATATTTCCATAGAACCGCTTGACTTTTCACCTGGCTCATAAACTTGGTGACGAAGAAGCTCTCATGCGCGCTCACACGGCTCTTCGCGATGTACCAGAAGACCAGCTCTGTTTGGCATCCGTGCATTACCTGCGCGCTCACTATCAGGAGGCCATTGACGTTTACAAAAAACTGTTGCTCGAGAGACGGTACGTATTGGAAGAAACGCTTGCGAGAGGACCTTATAGAACCTTAAAAGAATCACGCTTGACGGGTTTGGGCTAAGATTGTATTCACTCCCTAAATATGTAAATAATCACCGGTTGTTTGCTGATCCCTTAAAGGGCGAAATGAATCCTTCTGATTAATTACATATGAGCAGAGGGTAATAGAATTCCTTCGATCGACAATCTCTTTGCTCGAGTGGTCCACATGCCGGTTTCAAAGGGTCTCGCCGTCTCTGACTTCTCGGATTCGATTCCCGGTCGATGTGTTATATGAACTTGTCTATATTCTCTCGGATCTGGATGTTTTAGATACTAATCTTGGAGTGCATTAATTATTCATCTTGGAATCTGAACAATGCATGTGATGTTGTTGTTATTTTAATAAAATCTGTTTTCTAAATATGCATATTAATTAATTTTCAGTTTTAAGAGATATGATAATGAAGACACGGATTGGGTTAAAATTTTATCCCATACTTCTGGGTAATAACCACAATATGAATAATCAAATAATACTCGTAGTACATGCATTTAGTTGTTACGTCACGTGGTTAGACCTGTATCGTAGAATTAATTTTATCGCTGTGATTACATAAAAGTTAACTTTAAATAACATGCAGTTTATATAGTCATTAAAGAGAGTCTTAGAATGAAGCAATTACTGTTACAGCACACGAAAAAGCAGATTAAAAAGCTAGGAAAGCTCCTGCTAAAGGTCAATATAGCGACAGATTTAAGGGTTGGCAGAAATTTATTTTTTCGTGTTATTTTAGATCTGTAAGACACTCTTATATAACTCAAAATAATAGTACTATTATTAACTTATTGTAGATATGTTGTTATGTAAGTAGTATTAAAGCATACATACTAGTTTTAATATTAGGTACAGTTCATAATTCTCTCTTATACAACTGGTCGTTTCTGTTTGATATAAATATTTATCATTATAGTGTAGTGTACATTATTTACCAGTGATGCTTATATGTTAAAACCGGTCAAGTGGGAGTCAGACACGTGTAACAATGGTTACACATAAAGTTCTTGTAGGTTTTCCTGTAATATTATATAGGTAAATAATTATTTTCGACTTTCCTTACAAAAAAAATGATTCAGTTATTTCAGAAATAAACGGAAATGAAGAAAAATACGATGATATTTGAAGGGGATATTATATTATTACATATTAACAAAATATTACTCAGATATATTTAATCAGTATTTTTCCAAAAATGATCGTACAGTTGTTTTTGTACAAAGAAATATTACAAACGACAAACATTATGTTTCTGATAAAATTAAATGTTAGTGCAATTTTTAAGATATGGATGAGCGGAGCGTCCTATCGAAAGTAATTTTTAGTTCAAATAGACGTTCCATATACTTTCAAATTTATGTGCTTTTCTGTTTTCACAATAAATTTTTTTATTTATTTTCTATTTTATATTTCTAAGGATTATATCACAGACAAAACGTGAATTTAAAAATTTTTCTTTAAAAAGTGATAAAATAATACTTATCTCAAAAGCGACTTATCAAGAAACTGCAAAATATGCATTTATATTTTTTCGCTGATTTACATATTTTTTAAATATTTTGGTAATATTGGGTGAAAAGGACTATATTTTTTTGGTTTAAAAACAAAACTACCGATCCTAGTTCGATAAAATTTATATAGGACCACCTTGTGTCTATAAGCTTTCTAATGAATATTAAAAAATCGATCAAAAATTGGTAAACATACATAAAAAAAGCACACATCGCCGTGGAACATATTATAACCTTCTCCATTTCGATTTTGAAGTCGTTCAAAAATAGATTTCCATATCTATCCAGGCTCAGGGCGCTCCAATCCAGGAATTAACTCGTTATTTAAATTTGATCATTAAATCTAATGTCATATAAGAGATTTCATAACGTCAATATAAAAATCTTGTCATAATGTTCACGTCTGCCATTGGTCATTGATTTCATACTTTAAATGCCAATTAAATCTTGGCTTCAAGGATTGAAACCATGCCGTGTAAGTTTGCTGTAACCGTGTTAATATTACTGCCCAGAAACTACATGGCGTTGAATGTATACGTGGCATTATGCTATTACAAACTGGACTACTACGACGTGTCCCAGGAGGTGTTGGGCGTATACCTCACTCACCACCCCACATCTACCATCGCGGGGAATCTGAAAGCTTGCAACTTGTTCCGGTTAGTTACCAATAATATATTTAATAGAACGACCGTATTTAATATGTGTTTTGTTAAATTTATTCGCTTTTGGTGTGAAATCAATCTCACTTTCCTGATATGTTTGAATATTTAAGATAATAATTCTTGTTTATATATTTATTTATTATTTTTAAATAATATGAACAAAGTTCTACATATACTGCTGGGTAAGCGTGATCTTTTCTCTATTTTTAACCGCTTACTCCATGCTCTAGTATTATAGCTCTATGTATGTACAATTTTGAGAAAATCTATCAATATCTGGTGGTCTCTTTTGATTGATAAGAATTGATATTAATGTTTTTTTTTATTCAAAAGAAAACACCAGATTTTCTTATCTCATCATACAAATGTGAAGCGGTTAAAATGAGAGGGATGATCACGGTAACTTATCTGTTTCTTTTTAAAATCAAACCAGATTCAATATCGAAATTCATATAAAGTAATTTAATAATGTCCTTGTAAAGATTATAGTCAAAATAAAGTTGGGTTTCAAATTTGGTACATAGAGAGAGTGGACCTTGGGAAAGGACATAGTAATGAAATAAAGAAAAATCCACGTGGCCGAAGCCGTGGGCGGAAAGCTAGTATAATTATTAACATAATATCTACTAGCTTTTAGATAATCAGGCGCCTGCCATCTTTGATATATATACTTAATAGACTCTATTTTTCGGATTACTTAATCAAGTATAAAAGCTCTTTGACTATTCACGTTCATATGGAATGAAACCTTAAACATATACATTTGTATGTATCAGGTTGTATAATGGCAAAGCAGCAGAAACAGAATTGAAGCAGATATCGTCAGAACAACACACCTTCGGTCAGGATCTAGTGAAGCACAATCTCGTCGTGTTTAGAAATGGTGAAGGTGCTCTTAAGGTATTTTGTTTTGTTTACGTATTCAAAACTTCCCTGCAATTTATTTAATAAGAAGAATAATTATTTACAAACTAGCGACAAAGGGACGAGATTTTTTGATGTTCTTTTATTACTAGTATTTTAGGGCTTCGTGTTAACGAATGTAGATTCAATCGGCAGGCTAATTCCACAAATGTTTAATGTTAGGTAAACTTAACTTTGACCATTACCATACTATCTACCGAAAGTCCAATATGATCAGTGTTATGTCTCCATCACACAACTTTAATGCTTTTTATCTAAGCCGTTTCTTGTTAAGAAGCAAAAAAAAAATACGTATCAAATATTTTTTTATTATTATTATCTTAAAAAGCTTATTATAAGGTATCCGATTATATAACAGACAAGAATGCTTGAACTTGAGATGATCCAGCAACTGGATAGGTGATTACTTTTTAACTCATTATATATCAAAAATTATCTTGCTTCCATTATTATTAAATGATTATGTTGTCATTATAAGAACAAAGTTTTTTTTTCTCTCTCTCTATTTATAATGTATCGATCTGGTAATGACATGTTTTTTGTAAATGTCATTACTTCCATCAGAGCTGGTGAGTTTCTTGCTCGTTATTCTTATCAGCCAAAAGACGTCCTGAATGAACGGTAGGAAAAAAAATGTTGGACGATTCAAAAGTACCTTTAATAAGTCTATTTGAATAAAGATTATTTTGACTTTGACTATCTGAATAACGGACTGAGTAGAATTTCTTTTTTCTTTAAACCCAGTCGTCATCCCTATTTACTTTATTAGGTGTTGCCAGAATTAGTGGATGTAGTACCCGAAGCTCGCCTGAACCTGGCTGGGTACAGGCTCAGGAACAGAGATCCGATGGAGGCGCGCGCGTTACTGGAACCAGTGCAGCCTACTTCGCCGCTGCACTACATACTGCGCGCCGTCGTATGCGTGCGGATATACAACGAGACTGGTGATGTGAGTCGTCTTTATTATCAGCTCTGTTACGTCCCCACTGCAGGGGCTCAGGCCTTCCTTATGGATATTTAAGGAGACCATGACCGAGCGGACGCGGGAACAATGCGGATCGGAGGGTATTAACGACTACTAACGCAGCCTGCACCGACGGCTTAATGTGCCTTCCGAAGTACGGAGTAGCTTGCGATGATAATTTCTGGTCACCCATCCCGTGACCGACCGTTGTGAAAATTGCTTCACAACACCGATCAGGAGCCGAGTCGCTTCTCTACTTCACCATAAATACAAATACAAAATATTTTATTCTGCAAGTTACATGGTCATAATACATTAGAACTTAACATTAGGTCATAACCGCTAATATGTAGCAGTTTTAACACCAATTTTAGGCACGCAGAATAAGCTTCACCAAGCAATTTTATATTTATATTATAAATAGTAATATTATACAGAGGAAAGATTAAATATTTTGTTTATTTCCATGGAGTCGCCCAAATCTGTCGCCTAAATATTTAGGAGTCGGCCAAGGTAAAAATGCATTTTACTATTGACAAAGAACCACCTAACGAAATTAAGCAATGTCTAAACTTATGATATGACAGGTCATAAATATGTCAAGAGATAAAAGAAAAAATATTTATTTGGTATTAAACTAATCTGTTTAGACGATTCGTAATATTATGCGTTTCCTAGTTAAGCTATGCCTTGTTCTAGGTTAGTGAAAATGGTTGTAATTCATATAAGATTTCTATAGGAAGAACAAATGAAGATGGCCCAGCAAAGTTTCCAGCTGGTGGGAAGTTCCGCGTCAGAGTGCGACACTATACCCGGCCGCCAGTGCATGGCCTCGTCTTATTTCCTGGCTGGACACTTTGAGGAGGTGCTCGTCTATCTCAACTCGATCAAGAGCTTCTTCGTCAATGACGACACGTTCAATTTCAATTACGCTCAGGTACCTATTTCACTTTTCAGTTTTGAATCTCTCTGAAGTTGGCTTGACAAATAGCTGGTGAAAAAACAAAGCATTGTAAAATTAGCCGTTAATTAACCGGTATCTCGACATGACCCAAGTCACTGTTCCGCGGTTTCTTTTCAGCGTGATAAATATGTTGCATATGTGTGATTAGGTAGTCATAGGATCTATGGTAAATTTTAGCTCAATTATCAAGTTTGTAAAAAAAATACTTCCATCCGAAAACAAAATCCGAAACATGCAAACGAATCATCCATTATCTCACCATCAACGGAGCCCGCAAGGTGGGGTCAGGGCCCGTTCTTCCTATTCGATCTGATTTGATTCCATACATAGGGAAAGCTTATGCCCCAGCAGTGGTGACATGATAGCAGATGGTGAGGTCTCAGATATTAACACTCCTTGAAACTGAGAAGCTGTTCGGTACTGGAAAATTACTCGCCGGTGTGTTGTGTCAACACAAACATAGTTTACTTTATTGTAGTGTTTTTGGGAAGGATTTCGATAGATTTTAAAATTAAATAATTAGCCCAAAGTATATTATAAGGCTATCACCCTACTCAGTAGTGAAATGTGACTGACAGACTGACTGACTAACTGGTCTAGCAACGCACGACTCGAACTACTACATTGCTACTCTGTAAAAGCATTGCGCCATCACAGCACAGAGGTTGAATCAAATAAAACCTACTTCAAATGGTAAAAAATCATGTTATCGACGAATGCGAAATCATAGGTGGAAAGTGAATAATAAATAGTCCCATTTATTAGGCTAAAGTTGCTACTGGCTTTTATCGTGAGGCAGAGGAGAGTCTGCTCAGTATTCAGGATGAGGGCATCCGCAGCTCGTTCACATATCTGGCGTGTCTATGTCGGTGCCACGTGATGAATGGCGACGCGACACTCGCCTGGGAGATATGCGTCAAGGTACGGTCAACGAAAATTATGCTACATTCAAACAAATATGTTTCATTCCTATCGAATTTAAGCTGTTAGAGGAAAGGCGCTATACGAAGTTTAAAATAAATATCGTAGATACGGACTTGAAGACCCTGCGCTCAGTGAAGCCGGATTTTATATTATTATATTTCTTTTGTAGTGTGTGATATTTTTCTTTTATTTTAATTGGAGATTTTGAAGCATGTCCGTCCCATCGTAACCTATAATTTTTTATTAAGAGATTTATAACCCCTTTGATCCGGGTCTGGCTATAGTCTTATAATAGTTATGACCAAAGTTGACTACAGCACTTGCAGAGAGTTGTAGAGAGTTGACATACTGTACACGATAAGTAAAAATACACTCAATAAACAACTCATATTCTATTTGTACTTTTTTATATTTGTAAATTACGAACTTTTCAAATTTCAGTTTTCTAATATGTTAGTTAAAAGAAACGGAAACGACTGTCTTTAGTCCATTCGTTTCCTGCAAAAATCAACTTTTGCTAGATTTACCATCTAGTGGATGTATTTTTTAGTGCGTTCGTTCTTTTAAAATACTTCCTCATTAATACAAGTATCCCTTCAGTCGGCAGGTACACCAGACAACTTTGCCCTACTGCAGTTAGTCGCTAATGACAGTTATCGTATGGGACAGTTCCTTGTGGCCGCCAAAGCGTTCCACATGCTTGACAGGTACAGCTTTATTTATACCTTCACCGCTGCAATACCTATTGTTGGTTGCTTGGTGGAATGTTAAAATGATAAAATTGATTGCAGAAATTACGATTTATTTATTAAATATCCACAACATGTTGTGTTACTGTTAATGTTAAAATGAGTGCACCCGATTGTATGAACGGTAATAAATAAGTATACTGATTTACGTACGATTTGATAACATTATAACGCCTATAACAATGACCTAAAGACACGTTGCTATTCATCATATTACAAGTTCCTTTTATATACGTTAATAAGAAAGTCCGACTTAGTGGGACTTCAAAGAAAACCCACTATGATTCAATACTTACTAAAATAATTATCTGAATAAGGAATATGTTTCAATTGCAATGCTTTCGGCGATTAACCTGAAATAATAGGGATGATGACTAATTTTTGTTTGTTTGTCCGTCAGGTAAAGTGTTAAAAAATATTAAACACGTGTTTTTTTATTTTTTTCGTAATCATACAATTACGGCGTTATATGGAGTTGAAATTTCGCATGACGTCACGTTAGAGTACGTTTTCTACTCAACTGTGACGTAGCGAGCCCCAACTTTAATGCCTGTTATCTAAGCTATTTCTTGTCAATTTGAAGTAAAAAAAAAATACGTATCTAATATTTTTCTATTATCTGACTGACGGACTAAATAGAATTGCATTTTATTTACCCAGTCATCATCCCTTTTGTACTAGAAACATATGATCGTAAAACAAACATATGATAATAATAAAAACATGACTAGTAACAGTAACATATTTTAGTTAGTATCAATATCTGAAAGAAACGACTTAATATACGTAATTGTGATGATTCGACTTGTACTAATGTGCGGAGTTTCATATTTTTCCATACAAATAATTGAAGAATTCATCATTTTTGCTGACTTCGGAGCGATGGTGGTTTAGATGCTTAAGCCGTCGGTCCATCCTGTTGGCTGGTTAGCGTCCGTCAATCCACATTGGGCCCGCGTTAAGGAGAGATTTTACGAAATCACCACTTTTTAAACTAATTTTATTCTAGGCTATGCTAATGTTTGCTAAATAAAATCATTTATGAAAATTACACATGATCCATATGGTCGATTGTTAGCAAAAAACAGAATCATAAATTTCAATTATTAACTCGATAGTGCAAAACTACAAAGATAAGTTTTTTATATCGATTTTACGACTTTACATATTTCATCTTAACTAAAAAAAATATATATAAACACAAATAGTTTTGATATTAATTAATTTTGATATAATCTAAAATGATCAAAAGAATATTTTTTACCGGATTTGATTTTTTTTCTGTGATTAAAAATGTATGAAATCAAGCGAGTGCGCCTTTACTCTCGATGCGTATTTGTACGGGAACATAAGCGATGGTACAAAGAGGCCTTAAATATAAGTCCACATTGTACGTAGGTTGGACGGTGGACCTGAAATGTGGGAGGGTTTACGTGGCGCAGTGTGCGGTTGCGCTCAAGCAGCTGCCGCTAACAAGCCGCGGGCTGCTGCAGACTTACGTGACGCCCTCTCACTGCTGAGAGGTAACATAACTTTATAAAATCTAAATCTATTATTAACATTGATCTAGTAATGACACGGTTTTTAATGTCATTACTACTTTAAGAGCTGGTGACTTTGGTCGTTCTTCTTATCAGCCAAAACATCCTGCCTTATTCTGTAACTCTGACAACTTCTGAGGTTGACATTTTAAAATTGCGAATATTGTGGCACTGAGGAAGGAACTACGGGTCATATTTTATTTAATTGTCTTAATTTATCCATTTCTCTTTATCATTTGCTCCCATCAAAAGTTCTACGTCCAATAAATATAAAATGTATCTGGAGTATGGAGGAACCCAGACCATTCAAAATTGTATCTAGATTCCTAGCAATCAATAATACTCTTTATTTATAAATATAGAGTATTATTGATTTTGTTTGTATTATCGCACTCATTTTATTTAAATTCAAAATTGTCATATTTTATTATTGTTTCTTTACGTGTATAGACCACAAATGTGACATTGGCGTAATTGTGTAAGCGCGAAAAGGCGATGACTTAAAAAAGAAGTAGAAGAAGTGATTTTGACACAACGGAGTTGCTCACTTTTTTCCGGTAATTACGATTTTAGATAGTCAGTTGAGTTTGTGAACAGGACTGCTGATCGGTTGATAGATAAAATAATGTTGACCGATTCAAAAGTACGTCTTATCAGTTCATTTGAATTAAGATTACTTTGACTTTATTTTGTTTTGATAATCATCATTGCCGTCATCAGTCCATCATTACCATGTTTTGAACATAGCCTATCCAGTCATTCCATGTTTGGATGTGTTGAGCCTTCTCCATCCAGTTATGACTTGCCTTTTAACGTGATGTCATCTAATATTAATTTATTATTTATTTAGGGCCGAGAGCGCATCCACGTGCTGATCACATTCTTCGTCCAATAACGAGGTGGGCTCAACAGAATCGCATCCCGGTCTGATACGAATATTGTAATGTAGCGTAATGCGTATAAACGCGTATTACTAGCGTTGGGCTGCCGCATTGCAAACAGACGTGAAATAAGAAAAATAAGTACCTACTTGGGCCTCAATCCCGCCAATGTTAAAATGGCATTTCCATTGCGTCTTGACAACGCTTCAAAATATTAGGTAATCACGACTGAGTGATAAGAGAGAGTATACCTGTGTAATTATTACGGTTTAATAAAATATACTGTATTAAATATTTGGTTTTATTTTATTTCATTTGATTTCATTAACTAAAAAGAGTGCTGTCGGGTGTAATCTCTTGCTCAGTCTATTGAATATTTTTAAAAACACCTTTTATATTGAACCACCACCAGTTTATTGAATCTATTTATAAACATCGGTTATAATTTAAAATAGAATCTTAATAATTTAGCAAAAAGATTTTTTAGTTTGTTCTAAGAAAAAATTTGCGACAAAAAAGGATAAAATTTTCTATAATACAAACAGGGAAATATTTTCTGTTTGACCTATTACGTCATGTCCCATAAAACAAATGGGACACATACTTTTATATATAGGTATTTCTCAGAATTTTATTAATTATGTCACGCCATACCAAACGCTTTATAACCTTTTGTAAATATGCTAAAGGAAAATTGTCGGTCATTACTTCATTAGCACACTTCAACGGACATTGCCCAATACGCGGCCACTAGTATAGATACCAAATCGTAATCTTGAATATATGAAACTAGTATTTCCTTCCATGTCCTTATTTGAGAACCTGTATGGCACGCATATTGAATGTTCTTGCATATTTATAGTGTCACAAATTGACTTGAATATGGGAATGTACAATGATCAACAAGTTATTTAATTGACGTTTATCTTTTTGAGAATATAAACTTGGAAGATTTATGAGCATGCCTAGAAAAGGACTGAAATTGTACCGTGTCAATATATAATTGCGTGTAAAGAGAATGCGAGACGACAGATGGCACAGTATTACCCAAAATGTTTGTGTAAAAAAATATTTTTTATCAAGTTATTATTAACTATAAAATTTCTCAATATGACACCATGTCTAGAGTTTTTAATATAGAAAAGAATATGTTATGTGTTACTTCATTACATATGTTTTTCTTTAGTAAAAACTTCTATATTCTAACTTACGATATATTTAATGTTCGTTATTTTTTTTATATATTAAATTTTTTTTTAAATAAGCTCCTTTCCTTGCTCATTACCGATTCCACTGGCGTATATTATAGTTGAAGTCATTCGCGTACGATGTACTTTTTTTTTCAAGGTAAAATAATTTTTAAAATCGTTCCAGTAGTTTCGGTGCAAAAGAACAATCAAATATTTCTTTCTTTATAATATATGTATAAGAACCATTGCCTTAAACCTTAAATATACATAATTAAATTATTTCATGAATTTTTCATTAAGAATATTTTCCAGTAAAGCATTGTGAACGCAAAATTGATCAAATATAATAATTTTACTTCTGTTATGACTGTTGCCTTAGTTTTCTACAATGAGGAAGTATTTAAAAAAAACATTAGTTTCCGAAATTAAACTAGATTTCGCTTCGGTACTTTCTTGATTTCACCATGACAACCTTTCTGGTTTTATTTCATCTATAAAAGTAAATTAGTTTTCAAAACTCAATAAACAACTCATATTCTATTTGTACTTTTTCGTATTTGTATTGATATCTGAGTTTCGAACTTTTCAAAATTCAATTTTTTAATATGTTAGTTAAAAGGAACGAGAAAGATTATCTTTGGTCCATTTGTTTCCTGCAAAAACCAACTTTTGCTAGAGTCGCCATCTAGTGGAGGTGATTTTTTGGTGCTTTCTTTTTATTTTTAAGTACTTCCTCATTGAAAATGCAGTTCGTACAACAGAATTGCCACCATTGTGTTAATAGAATGAACGCAGGGAAAATGGTCATAAAAATGTCGTGTAATCAATTTTACACTTAAGTGAAGGTTATGTTAATTTTATTGGTTATGAGAAAAAGATAAGGAAACTAATAAGGTTATAAAAAGACACAAGTACCGCAAAAAAATTGCATTTATTAAGTTTTTTTCCAACTATACATTATATTTACACTGTCCGTAGAAATAACGCGTCAAGATCAAATCCGTAGGAAACAGTCAAAGCAGTATCGAATAAATAATAAGTAGATGTCGGAAATCCGCGGGCGAATCCAGTCGTTTTACTATATCGGAAGAGGTCTATACAAAAACAAACTAACACTTAACAAACCACTCGAAATATCGAAACACCTTTCAGTACATTCGTTCATAAACAATCTAATATGGCTTACATTCAATAGCAATATTTATAAAACAAACCAAAACTTTTACAAGACTCCGAATCGGGCGAATTCTATACATTCTAATGCCATCTTATTATCCAACCTCGACCGATACAGGTGGGAGCGTGGTTAGATTTGGTCCCATTAGCCCCATGGGTGGGCAGCGGCGACTGGTAGCGAGTAGCGCGCCACAGGTGCGGCGACCGCTACTGGCGCTGGTGCAACTACCCTCGCAACCGCCGGTGCGACGGCCACAGGTGCTGCCACCTATTGACAAATATACAGATTAATGTTTTAAACGCAAGTTTTATGCTACGTGGTAGGACTTTTAACTGCAATCTACCCGATAAACCGGGACGCGTTTTCTAAAAAATAACTAAG